CACGGCCCCAGGTCTGACCTGCCAGCCCCAAGGCACAGCGACCCACTTTGGAGGGGTCCTGCCTGCCTCGGACCCCTTCCCCAGGAGCCTTGCCTTTTGCACCAGCAATGCTCTTGCATGCTGGCTGCCTCCGCAGGCCCAGGACCCCACTCCATTCGCCCCCTTCTCCAGAGTGGACCCCTAACCCGAAATTCAGGACCATACAACTTCCTGGTAGGAAGGAACTATGAGGCGAGGTGGTTCACAGCCACCTGACTTGCGTCTCTACAACTCTCCAGGTGGTTCTTCCCCGGAGCCTTCCAGGAGGCACCCCCCTGCCCTCTGTCTCAGTCTCCCTTCACCTGGAGCTCCGGCCTCACCTTAGCAATGACCGTCCTCTCCCCCTAGGCCCTCAAACCCCTCCCATCGTCTTCTGTCTTCCCTTTGACTTAAATTCCTATTTTTTGGTTCCTATTCTTAAAAGTCCCCTTCTCTCCTCCCTCGGTCCCCTTCCACGCCTCTTTAATCCATCAACAGTCAGGTAGGACGGCTCCATCCCACACTTTGCTTTCTTTGCTCTCACTGTTTCTGGGTGAACGCACACCCAACTCCCAGCTCTGTCCCCTCCAAATTCACCTGTCAGACAAGTTCACCGACTCCTACGAGGGTCCCCGACCTCCCAACAGCTCACAAATAATAAAGCCCACACATGGAGACCTTAACCCCTAGAGAAGCCCCACCCTTGTTTGTGGAAAGTACTAGGTGAAAACCACAGCTCCCGAACTCCTACACAGAAACCCCGGCCAGCCGGCCCCTCAGGTCAGGAGGGACAACAGCTTCCCTGCTAAAACCCAACCGCCGACCCTCCCATTTAAACAACAACAATAAGGAAGGTCATACCCCGCTTTTTCTGAGTGTGCTATTCTTGGTTGAGCTCAGACGGAATATTTTGGGTCAGTATTATGATTTCTTCTACCAAAAATGTGAGGAGAGTAGGGGCGTAAAAGGAGTGGGCAATGGGAAGGAGTGGTAGCTGAGGGTAGGGAGGGGTCCGGAGGGGATGCCTCGTGTGTGGCCCGGGCATCTGAGACCGGGAGGGGCTTTTTGGGTGGGGCACAGAGGGGTGAGGTGGAGCAGCTAACCCTCCGGCGTTTTCAGGGAATGAGGTGATTGCGGTGGACTGGAAGGGCCTGAAGGATGTGGACCAGATTAACATGGACAGCACCAGCTCGCTGCACGGAAGCAGCCTCCACCGGCCGTCCACGGAGGTGAGGCCCGGGCCCAGCTGCCCCTCACCAGAGGATCTCCAAAAGATCCCAGGGCCGTCCCGAACAAAGCCTCCCAGCCGCCCGATCCGATCCTTGAAATCTCTTCCTAAAGTCCAAGTCAACATCCCAAACACTCATTCAATCGCTCCTTCAATCGTCTCTCCTACATTCCTCAAGATAGGAGCCAAGCCTTTCGCCTTGACATCCTAATTTCCTATGCTAATCTCAGGAAATCCCTCCCTCCGAGGAAGGGGGTGGGGTTCCTTGCGTTTCTGGAAGTGCCTGGAATACCCACTCCCTTTTCTGTGTCCTCACAGCAAACCCGAACTGATTTCTCCTGGGACGGCATCAATGTGAGTGCGCCCCCCCACCTTCCCCAGACCACCCTAACTCCTTTCCTTTGTAGTCTCCCGGAACACAGCGCTCCCTCACTCCAGCAGGCACTGGGGGCCCCTCCCGTGCTTTACCTACCCCCCAAATTTTCAACGATGCTTGGAAGTTATGCCTCCTTGGGACCCTGGGTGTAAGGGTTTCCCCTATCTCCTGCCCTAGCTCAGATCCTTCCTCCTGGAAACCATGAACTTTCCCCCACACATAAAGCACCCCCAGGCCCTCTAATTCCTCGCCCCCTCCTTCCACTCTCCCGATTCCAGCTCTCCATGGAGGACACCACTTCCATTCTTCCGAAGCTTAAGCGAAACTCTAACGCCTATGGCATCGGGGCCCTGGCCAAGTCGTCATTCTCAGGTGAGCCTCCCTACCTGGGGTGCAGCCAGACGGGACATACTTACAGGCTCCTGGTCTCAGCCTCCCTGCTCCTTGAGCCTGAAGAGGGCCTCATCTTCCTACCCCTGACCTATTTGTCCTTTCTGTAAGCCTCTCCTATCGTCTGGGCTGCCCTCATATATGGAGACCTAGGGGAGCCTGCCTCCCACGGGATGGAGTCCCCTGGGACTGGGGTGGGGATATTGGGGAGACCCTGTTATGGGTATTGTGTAGTATTCTGGAGGATGTGTGCCCCCTCAGGGATTTCGAGAAGCATGAAGGACCATGTGACGAAGCCCACAGCCATGGGGCAAGGCCGGGTGGCCCACATGATCGAGTGGCAGGGCTGGGGGAAGGCACCAGCCATTCAGCCGCAACACAGCCACGAGGCCGTACGCAGGGATACGGATGCCTACTCGGACCTCAGCGATGGCGAGAAGGAGGCACGTTTCCTAGCAGGTACTTGCCCCCGAACCCTCAAGAGGCACATTTCCACATTTCGGGATGGCCAGAGACTGACTCTCCAACCCCAGCCCCTGTGGCAAGGTTGGCTCTGCCCATAGGATAACCATCAGATTTCATTTCAAGTACTTTGACTTGTTAATTCTGACAAGTGCCCTCAAACTTACTTTATTTTTAAATACGTCTTTATTGATTTCAGAGAGAGGAAGGGGGGGAGAGAGAGAGAGACATCAATGATGAGTCACTGATCCACTGCCTCCTGCACGCCCCCTGCTGAGGATCGAGCCCGAAACCCCGGGCATGTGCCCTGACCGGGAATCAACCCTTCATCTCCTGGATCCTAGGTCGATGCTCAACCTCTCAACCAGGCTGGGCGAGCTATCATCTCAGAAGCTGAAAATTAACAGGGTATTGTGGGTCCACCTGATGCCATTTCTCTTACATGGTGGGACTATCCAATCCCTGGACTCCCTCAGTACAGGAACAAACAGCCAGGGGCTGTGGGCTTGAAAAAAGATCTGTTCTCCTGTTTCTTGAGGAAAAAGAAAGGAAGGGCCTTGGAGATCTTTTCTAGCCTTAGCCCATCAGCACGCTGCAGTCATGGATCCCCACACTGGGCTCATTACTTGTGACAACCACTGGCTGAGGAGAGGGTGGTACATGGAGAGGTTTCCTTCCAGAAAGCGGTGTAGCTACGAGACAGGCATAGGCACCTACCACGGTGGCCCGATCCTAATGGCAGGTCTCGGAAGGAAGAGTGATAGATCTGGAAGAGAAGGGAGGTATCTTTGTACTGATTGTTGGTGTTCTCTTGGGGAGTCTCTGTTAATCTTGAGGCACTACCCACCTCCTCCTCTAGATATCTGGATTCCTCTGTCCTTGACTACCTAATACTAGCTACCATTCCTAAAAACTTCCAAAGATAAATTTCTGGAAGTCCCAGATTTCAATACCTTAGGATATCTCACCAGAAGACCCCTCAACTCTTTCCCCTAGGAATCCTAAATCTGATCTTCTGGGAAGTCCCCAATGATTTTGCCTTGTTTCGGGGCATGTACAAAGGCTGTGCTGTCCCATACAGTAGCCACTGGCCACATGTGGCTATCGAGAACTTGATATGTGGCTGGTCGGAGTGGAGATGTGCTGTAAGTGTAAATATCAACTGGATTTCAAAGACTTCCTATGAATAAAAGAATGTAAACTATCTCGGTAATTTTTATGTGGATTAGATGTTGAAATGACCATCTTTTATACATATTGGGTTAAGTAAGATGTAGTAGTAAAATTAATTTCACCTGTTTCTTTTACTTTACTATGGCTACTAGGAATTTTCAGATCGTGCAAGTGGCTTGCATTGAATTTCTATCAAACGGTGCTGCTCTGATGTCCTCTCCCCGATGCACGTATCTCAGGGTTCTCAGAGGTATCTTGTGCTTACTGCATGTCTTCTCCCAGGCGTCATGGAGCAGTTTGCCATTTCTGAGGCCACACTCATGGCCTGGTCTTCCATGGATGGTGAGGACATGAGTGTCAACTCTGCCCAGGAGCCATTGGGCTGCAACTACAGTGACAACTATCAGGAGTTGATGGAGAGTCAAGGTGAGGGATGGTTCCAGAATCCAACCCCTGAGGCCTAAGAGGCCTCCCCAACTCTCTTCTCCACCTCTGTTCATCTCCGTGCTTCTGAGACTTTCTGTTCACGTCAGCTCCCCACTCCCCTCCTTACCCAGTGTCTCACCCTCAGTTCTCTGTGCTGTTGTTACTGCCTTTGATAGTTTGTGCCCCCACCGACCGCCACGACTCTCTTTACAGATGCCCTCACTCAAGCCCCCATGGATGGATGGCCTCACTCCTATGTGTCCCAGGGCATGTACTGTCTGGGGTCATCGGATGCCTGGGAAGCAAGTGACCAGTCCCTCATTGCCTCTCCGGCCACCGGATCCTATCTTGGCCCTGCTTTTGATGACTCACAGCCAAGCTTGCATGAAATGGGGCCTCCCCAGCCTGCTTCGGGATACTCCGCTCAGGAGCCTCCACCTTTGCTGGGGGGAGACACTGACTGGGCTCCAGGGGTGGGCGGGGTGGACCTGGCAAGGGGCCCTGCAGAGGAGGAGAAGAGGCCGTTGGCCCCCGAGGAGGAAGACGATGCCGGATGCCGGGACCTGGAGTCACTTTCCCCACGAGAAGACCCCGAGATGTCCACTGCCCTCAGCCGGAAGGTGTCTGACGTCACATCCTCAGGTGTGCAGTCCTTTGATGAGGAGGAGGGTGAGGCCAACAACTAGCTTCCTCCCACTCTGCGCCCTACCTTCCACTCCCACCTGAGGGGCTTGGCTGCAACAATACCCTCCCTTCCCCCAGCAGCACCGCTGAGGCCCGGGCAGAAGACGGCGAGGAACCCAGGAGCTGCCAGTCCTCGCCAGGAAAACGGAGGGCCGGGCTGGGACTCCATCCAGGCCTGTGCTGTAGGAACCACAGGCCCGGGGCCTGAGGCCCAGGCAACCAGATGGCCGTGAACTTGACTTGGCTGCGGGCTTCTGGGTCTGTGATGGTGAGGCTCCAGTTTGTATCCTGGGGACAGGAGCCACCGACTAGATCTGTTTTTCGCTCCCTGACTCGTCTTCCAGGAGCCTGGACTGTGGCCGCCTGAACACCTCCTTTCTCATGTCACTCTCGCTTTTTCCGACTCTGTGTTTTCTCTGCCTGTGGTCCCAGCTTGACCCTACCGTGAAGAACAGACCTCAGGGGCTGCCGGGCGAGGCTTGATGGGAGTGGGGGAGCCTGTCTCCTCGGTGGATGGACAGTCTGCCCCCAGGGGGTAGCTTGGCTTCTGAGATCAGGAGTCACGGGGTGGGGGGTGGGGAGTCGTGGCAGCCTGGGGGCACCAGGGCACAAACAGGATTCTTTCTATAAAGCCCACCCAGAGACCAGAGAGTCACTGACGGGACCAAGGGCAAACAGGGCCACCTGTTCTGGGATCTTGAATATCCCGAGACTGACGGGTGGGTCCTAAGGGTCTGGGAAAGGACCCAGCGGGCTGGCTGCTCCAGCTCTTGCTTCCTTCGTCTGCCTTCTACCATCCCCTGCCCCAGGAGCCCCGCCCAGGGCGGGTGACAGAGTGCAGATGTCCTGCCAGGCGGGGAAGCGTGAGGACTATGCCTCCCTCCATCCACCCCCAAATTCTCTGGAGCTGTTTACACTTTTCTCTTTGCCTTTTCTACATTTTTATAACTTCTTGGGGACTCAGGTTGAGCGCGGTGGAGGGAGGAGCCTGGTGCTGTCAGGCCCCGCCCGGTGGGTGGTTTGCTGAGAAGTGAGGGCGCTCAGCTCCCTGCAGCTCCTCCCGGCTCCTGCCGAGAGGGCAGCGAGCCTTCTTCCTCCCAGGGCTGGCGGACAGTGAGCAGAAGCCCCTGAAACTCTTGCCCTCCCACCCCCCGTCCCCACCTCAGTGGGGACTTCAGTCTGCAGCACACGATGCCCCACACTTCTGTGAGCGATCCTGACGGCAGGGCCAGGCTGGAGCGAAGGAGTGGCTGCTGGGGCACACAGTAGGACCCCATTCCCTAGCCCCTGGCAGAGGGGGAATCTGGGCAGGACGGAGAAGCTAAGAGGTCCATTGCCTCCCTTTCCTCTTTCCTCTTCTAAGGCTCCAGCCCCGAGGCCTCATGTCCTACCCAAACTTTGTCAGGGGTCCTATTGCTTTTGCCCTTTACCAGGAAGGGAGCACTGTCACCTCTCTCAGACCCTGGGCACAAACTACCCCATCCCCACCCTCATCTCCCAATGTCTCTTTCTTTGGAATGAGGAGGTTGAGAGTTGGGGGGGGTCCCATGTCTTCGGGGGAGGGGAGGAAACCTCAAGTACGCCTGGTGGTGAGCACAGGTGGGGGAAGAGTTGCTTACCTCGTCTAAGACTGTTGCTTGTGTTTGACCATGTGACCTGACTCCGGAGGCCCCAGGACCTTGAGCCCGGGAGCTCTGGGCAGTGGCCTTGTGCCCTCACCCTGCACTCCTGCGGCAGGTCTTGGGGTTTTGCATGCTCACGGTCCCCTCCTCCCAGGGGGCCCCTGTTACCTCGCCTTGTGCAGCCTGCTCTCCAGACGCATCATCTCCTAGTCTCACCCTCTTCCTGCCCCCTGTTCTGCCCCCAGACCGCAGTGGACGCCCACTCGCGGGAGTGGGCACATTCATTCCAGTTCCTTTTCGCTCAGGGCCCTGGGGAGCTAGGGAAGGTAGACGGAAGCAGCGCTCTTGCCTCCCTCCCTACCTCGAGGAAGCCTTTCGGTCCCTGCCGAAAGATGACTGAATTGCCAAGGAATCTAGCGGATTTCAGACTCCAGCGGGGCCCAGGACCCTGTGCTGGCGGCTGGCACATGCGCAGACCAGAGGTCGGCTGGGGGTCTGTATTTGCAAGGAGCTTCCCTCCCACTTTGAAGAGGGAGAAGACCTGGGGGGCTGGCCTGGGACCCTCTTCTGGAGGGAGGAACTGCCTCTATGGTGCTGGGGGCAGGGTGCATGGGGTTTGCTTATAGCCTATTTGGGGGGAGGGGAGGGGCATGTGCTGGAAGAGGCTGTTGGGGGTGAGGGAGGGTTGCTTTTCCTCCGGGGTTCAAGGCTGTGCAGCACGATTTCCAACAGTCCTGGAACAGGGCTGTTTTTATATTATTGTGAATGAAACTGCTCTTGCTAAATGATTTTCTTTTGGTGGGGGGTGCACTTTTATTTTCAATTCATCTTATGAAAGGAAAACCCAAATCTTCCATTCCTCCCCTTCCTTCTTATCCTTGTGTGAAGGAGGGAATTTTGGTGAGTGTGTTTTTGACCTTTCCCCGGCCCCCATTCATACAGCCCAGCCCCCTTCGTCTTCCAGGTCTGGGGAGTATCCATTGTTGTGCCAGTCTTAGCATGTTTTCTTAATGTGACATCCCCACCCCAGGCCCAAGAGAGATTCTATGACATATACTACAGAGAGAATTATATATAAATATATATAAATATTATAGATTATATACACGTGGGCATTGGGCTTGAGTGCCCACTGCCAGCCCCCTTCCTAGGCTACAGCCCCTCTCTTGGCCTGGGGAGGGGGCAGGGATGTGACGCTGGAGAGGGCTCCAGGCTGTGTTCATTGGCACTAAACAGAACGTGGTGGCATCCTCTGACTATGAGTGTCTTATTTGAGGGATGGAGGAGACCAGGCCCAAGGGAGGGGAAGGGGGAGAGGGGACACAATTGGAGGGCATAAAGGAGGGAGGGGAAAAGCTTGGAGTGTGGATGCAAGGGGGTTTGGACGCTCAGAGCCCCTGGGACTGCTTACAGAAACGGCAGGCTCCCTGTTGCTGATTTGGGGAGCATACGGTTCTGACCTCCCAAGTACAGGAGCATGAAAGAGGTCTGCCATCTTGACATTGAAATCCCAGCTCTCTGCCCCAAGAACACAAAGAACCAGTCTAAGGGCTGGTGTCTGAGTGACCCAGTGGAAGGCCTGGCTGCCCCGAGCTTTTGGTTCGTGGCAGGAGAGGCCGCAGCCAGAGCAGCTTGAGGGCAGAGCTGACCCTTGGGAAGGACAGATCAACGACCACAGTGGGAAGAGGGGGGACGAATCTTCTAGGAAGCTGTGACATGGGATAGGGAGGGTTTCTGCTGGAAGGAGTTGGATGGGGCAGCATGACTGGTTGGCGCAAGGTNATGGGGTAGCATGACCGGTTGGCGCAAGGCGCCTGCCCCGTCCACATAGAGCCTCCTGTGACATTTTCTCTTCCAGGCTGCTCCCTGATTGGCTCTTTGTCCACATTTCACTGCTTACATCAGGGACAAAGGAGGGGGAAATGGGATTGGCCTTTCACTGTCCTAGTAGTAGCCCTTGCTTGGGGACAGATAGTGGGAGGCAGATGGAGTCTGGAGGCAAATTTTGGGAAGCGGGGAGACCACAGGGTGGGGGACTCTGAGAGAAGGGGCTGTGGACGGTCTGGGTATATTCTGGGGCCATCAGACCACGAGGCCATGCGATGGCCCCATCTCTTCCTCTAGTGTGGCATTTGCAGGGCCACAGACGTCCTGGGCCTCCCGTCACCCACCCCTGTGGACACTGAAGGACAGTGTGGCAAGGCCAGGAAGGTGACAAGAAGGGACAAGAACCCTGGGGAATTGTGGGGGAGGCAGGGACAGGCAGGGCTCCCCACCTACACGGGCGGGGGCGGGGAACATTCCGGAAGTTCCACAGAACATAAAGGCCCTTCACTGGGGCATCTGGAAATAGGGAAACGGCCTAAAAAAATAATTGACCAAATTCTGACTCCTGGTCCAAGACTACCCTTGTCACATTTAAAAATTCCCAGGAGGACCCAGGATATTGGCGTGATCTCTCCAACCGTAGGACAGACCATCTGCCCTGCAAACCCACCATGGGACTGGGGCCTCTGGGCAGCCTGAGGAGGGTCCTGGCGGTGCTCAGAGGATCAGTTCATCCTCATCATCTTCCTCATCGGTGGAGCGCAGGCTGGGGCCCTGCAGGATGTCAGCCAGCTCCTCTTCCAGCCCCGGGCTGTCCACCAGCTCCAGCTCCTCCAGCTCGCCTTCCGCCCTGGCTGGAGCCAGGGAGAGGGGGGGCTCTGGGGTGGCAGGAGCCACATCTTCTGGCTCTGGGGAGGCAGGAGCCACATCCCCAGTTCCATCCTCAGGCAGGCTCCATCCCTCCGCGGGAGGGAGCGGGCCCCCGGGAGCCTTTCGGGTGGAAGTCGTGCTCCGGAAGCTGGCCAGGGGAGGGCGGAGCTGCACCCCAGCCTTGGTGTGCCCCTCGATGGCCTTCTGCAGCTGGGAGCAGAGGGAAAGGGGGTACAGAATTGGGAAGAGAAAGAAGATGGGACGGTGTGAGAGGAACAGACACAGGGACAGACACATACGATAAAAGGAAGAAGGAATGGGAAAGCCATAGTGGCAAGAAAGATGGATTCTGTGGCGAGATCAAAGACAGAAACAGAAAAGAAAGGGGCATAGCCAGCAGAGCAGTGAATCTCCAGCCCCCTACCCCAGGTCCTCCTTGGGCCCCTTCCTAGTGAGAGACCTTTGGGCCCCCTAAGCCACATCCTATCTCTTCCCTCTTTCCATGGCCCTCCCCATAGAGCATCCCTATGAAACCATGACTTGTGTTCTGAACCCCAATTCCAAACCCACACCAGCTATGGAAGATCACAAGGGCTACATCTGGGGTAAAGATCTAGGTCCCCTTCAGAGCTTTGCAGCCCTGTCTACTTGCACCCCGATTGCTGCACCCTTCCCTCTCCTCCAATCTCTGCATGAGAAATAGAGAGGAAAATGGGGGGTGTGTGTAAAACAATCCCTCCCGCAGCCCCAGCCCCACACCCTTCGCCCACCCCTTCCTCCTGCCTCTCAAATGGGATGTGCTGCTGTTACCTCCTCCAGTGCCAGCACACCCCGGAGCTTCCCCATGCTGGTCACATAGGCGAGGTGGAGGCCGAGGAGCGAGAACAGCGTGTGAATCTGCAGGGAAAGAGAAGCAGGTCAGCGTGCCCAGCGGGCCCCGCGCCTCCCCTGACCTCCCAGCAGCCCTGAGTGGTGGGCAAGGACTAGCCTTGTGCAGCGACGTCTGCTCCACCAGCTGGAAAGGGGACTGGTCAATACAGCAGCAGTCAAAGCAGACGGGCTGGCTCAGCTGCTCCTGCTCCCAGGCCTCAATCTGTCGGGCGGAGGAGAGCAGTCACCCAATACCACGGAGTCCCCTTCAGCCTCCGGTACAAGGCCTTGACCCCAAGCAGCCCTCCTAGCTGGGAATCCTGAAATATGCGACTGAAATGCTCAAGGAACGAGCACAGACCTTCCAGATCACTAAACCACTCCTTTCTTCCCAAGGGACAGCTCCCCCTCTCTCATCAGGCCCCAAAATCAACCTTCAGCCTCAGGCATTGGTGGGATGCTCCCTCCTCCATCCCCCACAGTGCCCCAAACACTTGTTATTTCCAACCTATCTTTCCAGTCTTTCCCCCCCTCCTGTCATTCCCCCTGCTCCAGTGAAACCCAACTGCTTGCCACTCCTCTCACATGTCTTCTGTGTTGGCCAGGCTGTACTTCCCTTACCTGCCCCCCCTGTACCCACCCTGCTCTCTATTTTTATTTTTATTGAGCTTAGAGAGAGGGGAAGGAAGAGGGAGAGAGAGAAACATGGTGAGAGAGAACCATCCAACAGCGGCCTCCTGCACGCCCCCAGCTGGGGATCGAGCCTGCAGCCCAGGCATGTGCTCGGACTGGGAACTGAACTGAGGACCTCTTGGTACATGGGACAGCGCTCAACCAACTGAGCCACACCAGCCAGGGCCCACTTTGCACTCTTGACGCTCCCAGGCGTTGTCCCCTTTTCAATTCCTGCAGCACCTGGCTGGCCTCTCCTTTCCAGGAAAGGCATGGACTCCTTGAGAGCGTTAATGGCATCGATGGCCACCTCTTAGGAAGGTACTAGCACATTTTCCTTCTACACAGTAGATCGTGGAGAATATTTGTTGGATTTAAAGCTCTGAGCTGGGTCACGTGGCGCTAAGTGGATTTGAGCAAAGCCATCTTTTTGTTTTGTTTGGTTTATGACAGAAGCCTTACAACACCAAGGCAAGCTCTGCTCTTGATTTAGATACGATGCTCGAGCCCTCAGGCTTCCATAGAATCCAGGCCGGCTCTGGCTTTCATAAAGGAATCTAACATTTTCCGAAACTCTCCTCTTCCCTGACTGAAGGTTCGCACAGGGACTGACCTGCTCTCACAGAACAGGATGGTGACCACCTCACAGGTATGTCATAGAGACGATTTATTTATGGCAGGCGGCTACCTTGCCAACCCCGGTTTGGCTGGTCCTGCCCCCGGGACCTTCCTATGATCATCAGGCCCTCCCTACTTCCATTTTTGCCTTCCCTTCGGGAACGAAAACAGAGCCTGTACCAAGCACGTCCTCCGTGCCAGACATCATTCCAATTGCAGGAGTGGAGCTGGGCTTCTGACCTTGACTGCTGGTGGCGTTCCAGGTACCCCCAGCTCCTGCCCAAGGGGAGGAGCGTGTCTGCCCTTGAGTTTGAACCTGAAAAAGCTCAGCCCCAGTTACAAACCGGGCCTCTAACTGCGTGTACTGACAGTGTAGCAGAATTAAGTCATAGCAGGGACTTCTGGCGACCTATAACTGGATTCTTTCAATATTCCCGTAGGTGTCATCTTGATACATCTTGTATTGCCACGGGTGTCACCTTGATCTAGTCTGAAAACCACGTTCAAAATAAGCTGAATTCTGACTCCAATTGGACCTCATTCCTCCAAAATGTTAGTGAGTCGCATGGTAGCTGGGAGCTGCCTAACGTCTCCTTCGGGAAAGATATAAACGAAAATGTAGACCTACTGTCTTTTTGTCCCTGGCGGCACTTTATTTTCTGTGGTCATCAAATAGCCTCATTGATCAACTACCTGTTTTTCTCTCTTTGGTGTGTTAACAACAACAACAACAAGGGCATCATTCTTGGTTTTAGCACCCTAGCACGGCACTCCTTAATTGCAGATATGACCCATCTGATTCCTGCTGTGGACAGAGGAATGATTCTTCTCCTGCTGTGATCATCTATTTGACTTTTCCATAAGTCATTTATCAGAAGCATATGTCTTTTGAGGGGTGGCAGGGGGACAGTGAGGTTTCCTTTCTCTCTTGTCACTCCCCAGCCCTCCCTCTAACCCTGGGGTACTTTTAATTTTCAGCACATATTTATTCTGGACGTCCAATAAGATGGTCATTCTAAAATAATATGCCTTATGGTCTTGTCAGCCCCAGAGCTCGAGTCTGCATTCTCACGTACCGAGTGGAGGGGCTGCTGATGGATTTTGTCATTTCTGCACACCCTCTAGGGCGTGTCCCCACCACCACTGCTCCCAATCACTGTTCCACGTTCTGTTACTGCTCCCAACCAAGGCCATTTAGTGTGCTAGACTTTCTCGCTCATGGACTTGACAGCTAGCTCTTTTGGGAAACGGGTGTTTTTCCTGAGAGGCAGCACTGTGAACACTTGTCCTCGAGGCTATGGTTCAGCCCGGCCTTGCTTCCTGGCATCTCCTAGTTGTCCGCGGTCCCAGGGCCCTGATGGGTCAGCAGAGTAACCTCGCCCGGGTGCTGATCTCACTGTCACCGCTCCGGTAATGTTTCTCCACATTAGTTTATGTAAGTGCTGGTGTCCGGGGCTATTTTGCTGCAGGTAAAGCTCAGCCTTCCTGCATAGCCCCTGCGTGTCCACAACGTCCCCAGTGTCTAAAAGACCTGAAGCTCATCTTAGCACCACAGGCCCATCTACGCTTGGAGACTCCGAGCATCCCTCTTCCAAACAACCATGGGAAGACCATCAGCATCGCCACCTCTGCGCAGCGTGCCCGTCACTGTCTCTCCACAATCACACCTCCCGCCCAGCCTCTCAGATGCTTTCCCGCCTCGGCTCGCATGTTATTCTTACAACAGCACAAAGAAGGGGACAGGAAAGGATGAGCCCTGTCTTCCTTTGACAGAACCACCCGCCCAGGGGCTGTTTCCCTTCCTTACCTCTTCAGGCGACATGGTATCCACTAAATCCGCTGGATCCTGGAGAAGAAAGACAGAGGTCCCAGCTCTTGCCTAAGGGGGCCGCGGCCGCCCGCCTTCCAGCTCCTTGTCCCTTCCATGTGATGGCGCTGCTCCTGGTCTAAGGACCATGGGTTTCTCACTCTTTAAACACAGGTTCCCCCCTGTCCCCCCTCACCTGGCTTGTTTTCTTCTTTGTGGGGCGAGTTTTGCCCAGCAAGCAGCACAACAGAGACTGAAAGATGGAGCGTCTTTGACCTGAGAGGAGGGGGGAGAAGATGGAAACAGAAAGAAAGCAACTGCGAGGAAATAGCCAGGGGCTCCCAAGGGGCCCCCTGACACGAGCCACCGTGCAGACACCCTCTCTACTACCCTCCTAAAGCAGCCCTTGTCCCACTCCCTGGGGCAGCAATGCGGAGACCCAGTGAACCCGAGCCCTCTCCCGCCGCCCCCCCTCCGCTCCCGTCTGAGCAGCCCTTAGGCCGAGCCAACTGCATGATGGGAGAATCTTCACCTGCAGGTTCCGGTGCTTCTGGCTGCTGCTTGGGGCTGGGCAGGGGTCCATTGGGCTCTTCAGGGGGCAGCGGAACAGTGGGAAGGGGGTGAGGAGGGGGCAGCTGTAAGGAGCAGAAAAAATTCTCAGTCCCAGAGAAGCGGCCTGCCTTTACCAGCTGGTGTCCTGGCAAATCCCTCTAATTCTGCTCTTCCTCCCCAGTCCAGAACTCCTACGTCCCTTTGAATGGTCATCGCACCGTCACCCACAGCCTTATCACCTTCCGTCCTTTGGACCTGGGGGCACTGACCGCTGACTTTCTCAGTGACCAGCATCCCCACTCCTCTTGCTACTCCCCCCCCCAATCTCTCCTGCCCCCGGCCCTTCCAGCCCAGTCACCTCTTGTCTCCCAGAGAGGTCTTCATCTTCACCTTCGTCCACAAAGGCGAAGGACTCGGGGCGGCCCCGGGGTGAGGGGCCCTGGCGCCCGTCCCCAGCCTGCCGGGCCCTCCCGTCAAAAGGCAGCTCTGACAGCTTCCTGGCCAGGTCCTGGGCCTCCCGCAGCCTCCGCTCGGGACACAGGTGGCGCTGCAGGAGGGCTTGGAGCTCGGACCGCTCCACCGAGCCCAGCAGGATCATGGATTCTGGGGGCGATGCAAGCTCAGCCTGAGCACCTGCTCACCAGCAGCCCCCCACTCCGCCCGGCTCTGCAGGGCAGGGGCAGGGATGGAAAACCAGCGCCCCCACTTTTTTCTTCAGCTTTTACCCTCTCTTCCTAAAAACTCATTTCACAAATCTTGCAGGATTGACCTCACTCAATCCCTTTTATTTCACCCCTTTAGCACTTAGAGGCCCAACTGACAGTACACCAATTGGTGCTAATTTGTACTTATTTTGATATTGCCTGTTTGCAAATAGGTGAACTTGGTATTAAAATAGGCTAATCAACCCTGTCTCCAAAAAAGGAACACGCAAAGCCATTCATATAGGCCGAGATATGAGTATACTTTGAAAGAAGTCTATGAGGATGTCTGATGTTTAATTATTTAAAAAGTCTAGGTCCTTCTAGGATATAAACAGCACGCCTACTTTTCCTGGGAAGGTTAAAATTCTGCTACTGTAATTAACATTTTCATTAAGTTTTTTAAAAAAAATATGTTTTTATAGGTTTTTAGAGAGAGAGAGAAACATCAATTGGCTGCCTTTTACATGCCTCCTATTGGGAATTGAGCTGGGGAATCAAACCAGCAACCTCTTGATGCATGGGACAGTGCTCAACCAACCGAGCCACACTGGCCAGGATGACATTTTTATTCAGTTTTAAGGACATAAAATTGCAGCAGTGTTATTGAGGTAAATCTTACTGTTCAGTCTTAGTCGTTATTGTGAAAACCTCGGTGGCTATACCTGTGTCCAGTGAAGAGCCCCTAATGTAGAAGCCACTTAGAAAGCATTTGGAATTTGGGAAAATATTAAAAGTAACCTAACTTGAGCAATTTGGATACTCTGATCATCTGAAGTCAGGACTCCAAATGGCTCCAAATGGCCCGCCATGATTCTTCTCAATGACACTAATTCAAATATTAGGCAAGTATTTATTTAATATCTAGTAAATATCTGCAAGGAGGCAGTCTGACAGAGATCGAAGTTATAGTCTCTACCCTCAAGGACTACCCAGTCTAGGGAGGAAGATCGGACATAGACATATACACCACAGTAGGAAATAACTCAGGGCAGGATTAGTGCCAACGGTGGGCAGAAAGGGTGGCGAAGGAAGTGACGTGAGATCAGAGCTTACCAAAACCATTCACTCCTCTATATGCAAGTTCCATCTGCTCCTCAAGCTGATATTAAAGAGCCGCTATTATTTAGCTAAGTAGCACAGAGAACTATGCAAGGGGCTGTAAGACTTACAACTGAGCTCCATTATTCGTGGATTCCCTATTTGCGAATTCGTCCATTTGTAACCTAAAATCAACACTCACGATGCTTCCCCCGTCATTCACAGACATGTGCAGAGCAGCAAAACATCTGGGTCGCCCCACACACACATTCCTAGCTGAGGTTGAACAAAGTGATGCTATCCCTTCACCTCCCCACCCCAGCCCTCATAGTGCAAACAAGTGTCCTTTTCGTGGTCCATTTACTGCTACGTTTACCACATTTTTGTGTTCTGTGCCGGTCATATGGCTGGTTCAAATTGCCCCCGAGCATAAAGGCTGTGACGGGCCTCGTGGAGAACATAAGTGACTTAGGTAAGCTCTGTCTAGGCGCAGGCTAGCACGCTGTTGGCTGTAAGTTCAACGTGAATGAATTGACACTATCCAGTCAATAAGGCGCCTTTAAAGAGAGACAGGCACAAGACGAGCTTATGCATTGATTAGTGGAGAGACTGTTGTGACCAGAGGCTTGCAGGAACCTAACCTTGTATGTCTTCTAGGAGCACTGGTTTAGTGTGGTGCCCCTGATTCAGTGTCCGCGTGACTTTATAGAGCACAACTAGTGAATGATGAGAATTGACTGTATTTCTTTACCTGGTTTTTAACTGTCTTGTGCCTGCGTTAGGCCTGTATTTTACCTTCCTCAGGGTGGTCATGTTCCCTGCGGAGCACAGGCTGGGTGTCCTGCAGCAGAGTGAGCGGCCCCTGCGGACAAGCCGGCACCGCGGTGCCTCGCCCACATCTACGGAGCCCAAGTTCAGGCCACTGATTCAGGAGTCGGCTTCCTTCCTTCCCACTGACCTTTTGAATCAACCAGTGGTAGAGTCTTGACTGTGGTGGTCTGGAGCAGGGTTTGCAACTCCCCGTATGTGCAAGAAGCGGAAACAAACTTCACGTCACGTACCATGATGTCTTCAACAAAGATTGTAAATTTGCTATGGAGGGAGAAAGCATGGGGGGGGAGGTTAGCCCCACCATATGCTTGTCCCTTTGCTGGCCCTTCCTTCCCCCCCTCCATGAGGTTTGCCATTTGGTCATTCCCAATATTTATTAAGTACATGGGAATATAAAAAGACGTCAAAAGCAGTGCTTGCAGACATTGGCCCTACCTTCCATCTCAGCCTCAGAGTCGCCCACCCCCACCCCATCGAAGCTGAACTAATTCCAGCTGGTGCCCCTGACCTGAACTGGTTCCAACCAAGGTCAGGCAAGTAGGGTAGCTTCTTGACCTGGATGATGCTGTCATAGAGGGAGGGCTGCAGGCTCTGAGCTACCATGTTGGCCAAGATAACAGCCACCATCATGGGTAGAATGTGAGCGATCTGACCCGTTAACTCGAAGCAAATCACAGCTGTGGAGACAGTGTGGGACACTGCACCGGTCAGTGCTGCCGCTCCTGGAATGAGACGAGGAATGTCCTGCTGGATTAGAGCTGCAGTTCTTGGCACGCAGGGCTCATGGGACGTGATGAGAGTAACACAGAGTTGGTCAGTGGCAGCACGCCCAAGACAACCATTTGTCAAGAGTAGGAGCGTCACAAGAGTAGGAATTTTATCTAACCTCTTCTCTGATACATTCACTAGCCCCTAGAACACTGTTTGACACTTTGCACTCACTCAACAAATAAGTGGGGAAAAAGAGTAGGGGTTAGGATGCCGAACTGTTAGAAAGTCATCATTCTGATCTCATTCCATGACCTCTGGCAAGCTATGAAATCCTTGTGTGTGCCCAATATGCATTTATAAAATGAAGGTAGCGATGTCCTATCCATTCCTGGTTTTTGAAAGTTTGTATCATCTTTAACTGAGCATTTAAAAACCCAGTTACGGCATTCTACTCTGGACCTCAGGTTTTGAGCCAACAATTTATGAGAGAGTAAGGCCATCATCTGATCATTAAAGCTGGTTAGTGCTCCTAGATCTAGGAGAGGCCTGGCCTTACCTGCTATGGGATTTCGGTGAGGAGAGAAAGGAAGGAGGAGGTATAATAATTCTGTGGATTTATATTGGTTACTGTGTTAGACATGGGTTTTGGTTGGACGGGAGAATAGATTTAATGGAAAAACTAAACAGAGATTCATAGAATGTTAGGGCTGTAAAGTATCCCAGAAGTCACTTCTGAAGAAACTAAGGCTCAGAAAGGCAGCTAACTTGTCCATGACCATCCAAGGGACAAGTGGCAGGGATAGGTCCAGAGCCCATGTTTTTTAGCTTAGTCATGTGCTCTTAAGTCCCATCAATACTGGAATATCTGCAAGGTGAAAGTAGCTGGGCCAGTCACCTGCACTGTTGTTTCCATGATTCTTTGGAAGAAACAAAAAATCCTTACCAAACATTCAGACACAGTCCTAGGTGCTCTTATCCCTATTATCTCATTTAATCCCAATAATCTCTTTTCTACATGAAGAAACTAAGTCTCATAGACATTCAATAAATGTCAATGAGAGTCAAAACCAAGGGTTGATTATTTGGATACAAGTAGAATTAAATAGCATTAAATTAAAACCATATTGTATAGGCTCGAATGAAGATGTCATGGGAGAGTTGGAGTGTGGGCATTTGAGGGATTCAATATTTCTTTACAGGAGGGTGGAATGTATCTCACCAATTACTGCGTAGCCCCCAGGAAGGATCTTGTAGATGATGCCATCAAATAAGATACCATCAGGGAATATCATGGCCATGATCTCCCCTACCAGCCTTCCAAATGCAGCTCCTAGAGCAAAGACAAAAGGAAGGAAGGTGTGAAGAGATCCAAGTTCCTTATCCTCTGTATTTTCAGAGCCAATCCCTCCTTGGGTGCTAAGACCAAATGCAAGCCCCCAGCATTCCAGGCCTTTCCTTATTTTCCCAGTACCCTAGATTGCAGCTATCAGTACGATCCCAGGCTCCCCATCAGAACTCACCTAGCACAAATACAGGCATGAAGCCTCCGCAGGGTATGGGCATAGTGGTGGACACGATGGACATCCAGAACTAGGGTAAACAGAGGCATCAGGACACCCTCTCAGCTCTGCCCAACACACACACACACACCCAACCCCCTTCCTACTATCCTCCTTCCTGCTTTAAGAGCCGCAGAAATGCTGGATGACTCACGCTCCTGAAAGCCATCATGTCTGCCCCTCTTCCTCTAGAACCAAAACACATGGAGTTCTCAGGCTAAGAGATCACCAAAGACAACACTATGAGAGAGTTCTTCCAGGTGGTTAACCCCAAACCCTCCGGAACAAGGAGTGGGGCCTCAGAGGGCCTCTGTCACTGCCCCCAAAGGGCCCCAGCCCACTGTAGCCTCTTGGCTTCGAATGGTCACCCCAGCAGAACAGCCTGAAACTCTTGAAGCTGAAAGATATCTTTTCCTGGTCAGATTATGTTTCTGAATACAGTCCCTCGTTGGAAGTGGCAGACACCTTAAAGTCTTAGTGAATTACTGTGTTGACTGAGCTTTAATGGAGTTATTTACAAAGCCATTTATAGGGTGAACCTCACAGGGGAAACTGAAGCAACTATCCTGCCTGAGCCATTTCCTGTGACATCAAATCACTTTAAACAAATGATCAAAGAATCAGATCCGTCCTAGCCACACAGGAAGGGCACCTTGAGAGAGCCAGGTGAGTCAGCCAGTGTAATAGGAAGGATCTTCAAGGCCACATTTGGCAGGTAGTATTCCAATAGAAACTGGGATAATTTTAGAAAAAGCAGTTTTGTGCCAAAGAATGCAGAAGAATTGAGAAACAGAGTAAAAAAAGGAGTAGTGCTTGAGCTTTTATGAGACATAGTATGTAAATTAAGCAATAGATTTGCATATCACTTCCAAAATAAGGAAGCCAATCTTGGAAAAAGGTTGGAAACTAACATGGTGAAAGATGGTAGCAACCAAAGATCAGAACTGCCAGGATCAAAATATTTACAATTTAAAAACCGCACCAATTGCATTTTCAAGTATTGAGAAATAAATGTCTTAATTTCCTGAACCTTAGAATTCCCTTGAGCCAGAGCTGACCTCAAGAGGAAGTGGCCAAGGCTCTAAGAAGGTTTCATCCCAGAAACTCTGAGATGAGGCAAAATGCATAGTTCTTCATGTCAGAATATGGCTGTTTAAGACAGTTGAAAACTGAGAAGTTAAATGTATACAGGGAGAGAATAAAGCCTGAGAAGTCCTTGAGTGTAAAGTATGAGTGTATCTTGTTATCTCTGCTTTCTCTCTGTCCTGGAACAGTGCTCAGTAAATGTAGGTAGGATGTAGGTAGGTAGGTAAGTAGGTCGGAAGGAAGGAAGGAAGGAAGGAAGGAAGGAAGGAAGGAAAGATGAGAGCTTGGTCAAATAGTATTCGTGCAAAACAGAAAACACTTCTCGGAGCTGGTATTTGCTAAAATACCCAACAGGAATGTTCATGGAGAACTTGAGGTTAAAGTACAGATGATCAGACACCATCAGAGGCCACCATTTCAGACTGTCTGGAGACAGAGTTCTCGGCACCTGTAGTTTAAGCTTCTGTTTCATTGATTTTTTATTTTTATTTATTTTTTGAGTGAGAGAGGGAGGGAGAGAGAGAGAGAAACTTTGATGTGAGAGAGAAACATCGATCTGCTGCCTCCCACCCCCCACCCCCGACCGGGGATCAGTCCTGCAACCCCAGGCACGTGCCCTGAACTGGAACCAAACCAGCAACCTTTTGGTACACAGGCTCACACCCAACCAACTGAGCCACACCGGCTACGGTTAGTTTAAGCTTCTTAAGTGACTCTGATCTGTGCCAGTTTGAGATCCCTTGAACTATCCTGTCCCATATCTTTGGAAGAAGTACATCAGGGATTTGGCAAAGCCATAGGGATTTGTAGGCTCAGAGCAGTCTGAAAGCTTCAGTAATACAGATAATAGGTGGCCGGCAGGTCTGATTTCAGAGGAAGAACTTTAGATTAGCCTCCAAAATGTGCGTAAGAACAGGATCAGGGTCAGAGGACACTGGAGTATCAACTCCTATAGCGTGAAGAATGACACATGAGATTAGCCAAACTTTGAGCTATTAGCACACGAAGGGGAAGGTGCAGAAGCAATGTAAGTGATTTGGAACACAATGAACTCCCAAGATTTTAAATTCTAGGGAGCTGGGAAACGAGAGAGCCATAATCACAGATTCCACTTTAGTTAGACCTGTCACATGAAGGAGCGATGTTAAGATCAGGCCAAAAAGAATTCCACAGAGCCTTGGGCTGGGCTATGACTCCATGGTACTCGGTAATCATGTTAGACTTACTGAAAGGGAAACTGAGACGTAGTCATTATATTCACACTCATTGTGAAACCTCCTGACTTACAACATAATGACACTTTCCATGTCTTAAGATTGAGGAAGATGGAAGTTCACTTGGTCAACATTATAACCGAGAATCTTATCAGCCTGCACTGGGGCTGCCAGAGGACCACGTAAGTTTTAGATCAGACTGTGGAAAATAGTTCTAGTCACTTTTATATTTTGATTTGGCTATGTAGTCAATTGCCCACACTCCGGAAAAAATAAAGATATGCTTATGTGTCCAATGGTAGGACAGTGAAAAAGGCAGTGATAACTAAGTAACATCGTGGATTTATAGCCAGGAGTGGCTTTATGTTTATAAACATAGAAAATCATAGGCCTGATGCAAACTGTTGGGCTTGAAAAATAGCCCAGGAAGTGTGTGGATTCCTTTTTCTGATACGCCAATGACACAAACATTTTCAAGGATGTAATTCAGTGAGAAATGAATAATAGTGACATACAGTTGAGTCTATATAATCCAGTACATTTCTCAGAATAAATTTTAACCCGTGATGTGATATCCAGATATATACTTGGGAATCCTGGGAGGGGAGGTGACTTGTGGGAGAAATGTTGAAAAACATACAGCCTTTTGCTTCTCTGAAACATTTCAAAAGCTTGACATTTTAAAAGCATGTATGTCCCCAGCATTACCATATAGCTCAGTCTAGAGATATACCAGAAAAAAAACACTTACTATCATTGAACAATAATTTTTGAGATGCCATCTAAACTTGGACTTGGTTATGGCAGATGGGTTTGTATATCAACAACAATGACAGGAAGTTGAGATTTATAAATTAGAGAAGATGAAGTCTATAAAGAAAGTCCGCCCCCCCCCAAAAAAATCCCTAACAAGACAGAGAGTTGTTTTATGATAAAAATGTCAAATATTTTGAAGGCAGGAACAAAAAATTGAATAAAGCTCGTATGCAAAATGCAGAAGCCATAAACTCAGTTAACCCATCTGAAGTGAAATAAGGAAGGGAACATACAAACACGGCTTCTAGAAACCAGAACAAATCCTGAGAGTGTAAGCCACAGAGTTGGAACCTGGTGTGAAGTGCCTGGTATCTCTAATCATAAGACCACTGACAAGTACATCAAATGAGCAGCAACAAACAAAGAAGGAAATTTTTAAAATTGTTTTTCAACCATAAGCATAAGATTTGTCAAAGATCAGTAATCGAGTATTATATACTTGGCACGTAGAAGGTATATAATAGCATTTGTTGAATCAGTGAACAAAGGGACCCACTATGGCTACTACAATATAAGTATTACTTAGTGGCTCATATCCTGGGGAAATACCGATTCATAAAAAGTATCATGAGTAAGTCGATAACAAGGTGTTCAAAAGCATGAAAGTTCAGTGTGGACAGACTCTTAAATGAGAGACCTAATATACAGAAGAAAATGTTGGACTATTTGGGCAAGACATACTATTAGTAATAAGGCAGCCGGGCCTGTGTGGCTCAGTGGTTGAGCATCAGCCCATGAACCAGCAGGTCACTGTTCGATCCCCAGTAGAGCGCGTGCAGGAGGCAGCCGATCAATGACTCTCTCTCATCATTGATGTTTCTATTTCCCTCTCCTTCTCCCTCTGCCTTCCTTTTTTTGAAATAAATAAAAACATATTTAAAAAGTAATAAGGCGCCCGGCCAGGCTTGTCTCAGTGGTTGAGCATCGACCTAGGATCCAAGAGATCGCGGTTTGATTCCTGGTCAGGGCACATGCCCGGGTTGTGGGCTTGATCCCCAGCAGGGGGCGTGCAGGAGGCAGCTGATCAATGACTCTCATCATTGATGTTTCTCTCTCTCTCTCTCTCTCTCTCCCTTCCTCCCTCTGAAATCAATAAAGATATATTAAAAAAAAGTAATAAGGCAATCATCAATAAAGAAAATATATGCAATTGGCAATAGTAATAGATGTCACAACCAGGGTGGAAATGAAAATATCTTTGTCTAAGGCAGTAATTGAGATGTCTGTAAATACATGATCCTTGATGGGTAGGTATGAAAAAGAACTGAGATAAAAAGACATCGGCTTTTGTTTCCTAACTGGAGTTAGAAGAAAGTGGTTTGAGAATCGCAAAACCCTTGAAGCCTCACTACCTAACAGAGAATGGCAACATTTATAGAAATTGTTTATAGTCATTAATAAAATTGATTTAAATATTTTATCTCTTTTCAATTCTAGAAAAGAGATTACGCACTAAACTGGGGGAAATGGGTATGTAAAATCAGGTAAAAATGGATCATCAGGTACACGGAGAATGGGAAGCCTAATTACCTAAGATGTGGGGGGCTTTGGTTAATTGGCCTGTGCTTTTCACCCAGTTGTCTATTTTGCTGAACTCGGTCTCGCCTTTGTTTACTTGGCTGCGGTGATGTCATAATAATTTAGCGAGTGGAATCTTTGGAAAGGTTGTAAGACTTACGGCAACATCATTAAGTTGCCACGAATGGGACAATTAAGCTACATAATTGTTCTAGATAATCGTTCTAGGTTCACCTACACACACGAGCAGCTTGTGGATGGTCCCCAAGCTAATCCTCTTTCGCCCGGTGAAGTTTCACGCTCTCTTGCCCCACGCAAAGCCAAGCCTGGGTTCCTGGGCGAAACCGAATGGAAACGTGGGGAGTCAGGCGTGTGGGGGAGGTACCTTCATAACGAAGAACAGTAAAATGATGATGACGACGTTGACCTGGGGGTGGATCCACACGGCTGACCGGCCCAGGCTCGCGGGCTCCCCCACGTGTTTCACCCACGTGTTGTTATCAAACAGGGTGCTGATGGCTTCGCGAGGCATCAGCTGTGAGAGAGGAAGCCAAACGGGGCAGTGCTCCAGGGGTGCTCGCTCCCCCCTCTTTCCAGGGAACCGACTCCCAGGCTCACTTTTCGGGGGGTCACTTCTGCTCTTTTCTCAGGGACAGAGTCTACCCTTGGCCAAAAGTACATACGCTCAGAAGCCTGAGGGACATCTGCGCTGCCCCCCCTTTCCTCGTGGCCCAGTCCTGCCTTCGTCCCTGTCTTGAGCTCGGTGACCTGACCCCACCCTCAGGCTCCCCGGCGGCTGACCTCTCCGGCCATGAATTGACCCATTCCCGGTGGGAAGGTGAACGAGGCGATGACAAAGGTGACGATTCCAGGGTACAGCAGGCGGCTGAAAGGAAACAGAATGAGCCCTGGGGAGCTGAAGTTCCCCGTGGTCCGCTGTGTTCTTTATACACAGAGCATTCTCTCCGCCAAAAGGCCACCTTTAAAGGGGAAACCGCACCACTCGCCCCCTCCATAGAGCATCAGAGCTTCTGCATTTTATCACAAGCCACCGAAGGGCACTTGAGGCCTTTCTCAAAGATTTAAAAAGAGGAACTAACTGGTGGGGAAACCAGAAAGTAAGCGGGGAGGGCTAAGGAAGGGCAGTGACTCACTGCTTAGCGAGGAACTGGCTGAGGGCCTTGTGCTTTCGGACACCCAGCATGACTTGGCGATGCAGATACACAAATACAGCTCCCAGGAACCCGCAGCAAATCCTGGGGGCGTCAATTATACAGAAATGAAACCCTCATCCCCGGGCCCTAGCCGTGGGGGAACAAATACCAGCACCTGCCTTCCCTTTCTACCCAGCTTCCCCCAACAATTTACACTTCACCCGTGTGCACCCTGCCTTCTTCTTCCCAGCTTGGGTCCCTTCCAACCCAAAGCCACCCCTGCCCCCAGCTCGCCACTCCCTGGGCAGGTGACCCACTGACCCGATGACAGCAAAGGCCGGCAGTTCCTGCAGGTCAAAGGGGAAGTCCATTCGGAAATTGGTTCTGAAGAGAGCGGTGATGGTGTCTATAGGATGGAGGGGCCAAGGGTGATGGTGGGAGCATCGCAGAAACACAGAGAGGGAACCCAGGGGTCATCAGCTCCGGGATCGACTTCTTCCTCCAAGCCCAACATCTCTTCTAATTTCTTTTTTCCACACACCCCCAGGACTCCCCTCCTCCATGGCCCATCTCCTTGTCCTGTATCCTCGGGTCTTGGTCCCACTTCCCATATAAAGCCATCGGCTCCTTTTCTGCCTCCCCGCAGAGCTCCCCTCCGCGCCCCACTCGGAGCCCCCACCCCAGGGCCCGCCGTTACCAGCATCCTTGTTCCACACGGCCAGCACTCGGAACACAAAGGCACTGAACGTGGCTGCAAAGAACCCTCGCCAGTAGTTGTGCACAGCGAAGTAGGTAGAAGTGACCTCGATGCTGAACAGCACCCCTGTAGGGGCGAGAACGTAGGGTCAGAGCAGGCCGACAGTGCAAGTCTCTCTCCCACGCTCCCACCCTGGGGACCCGCGCTGTCCCCGCTCGGTCCATGCTCTCTTGGAGCCCATGCCCTCAACCATATACCTAATCGTGGTAGCAGCATTTTGCAGGCCAGTGACGTGGTTCAATAAGGTACAGAGAGGGCAAACCATGAGGGTGGGGTGGCCATGCTCTCTCCACCCCTGAGAAAGGGTTGGGTGAGCTTCACAGCGTCAGATGGCCACAGGGGTTTAAGGGCCACTGGGAATTTTCTGAAGAAAAGTTATGAGGGAGAAATCGTCCACAGCGGGGGCTCACCAGGGTTGCCAAGCAGAACTCCAGATTACAGGGACTCTCCGTAACATCCCACCCATCTTTCCTCCCTCCTCCCATGTACCATGTACCTTAGAGCAACTTTATGAGGAAGAAATAAGAAAAATAAATAGGCAAGGTCTTCACAAAAACTGGCAGTGCTCAATATTCCAAGAAAAGAAAGTAGCCTGGCTGGCGTGGCTCAGTGGTTGAGCATCGACCTAGGATCCAAGAGATCCTGGTTCAATTCCCGGTCAGGGCACATGCCCAGGCTGTGGGCTCGATCCCTTTAGGGGCGTGCAGNACCTAGGATCCAAGAGATCCTGGTTCAATTCCCGGTCAGGGCACATGCCCAGGCTGTGGGCTCGATCCCTTTAGGGGTGTGCAGGGGGCAGCCGATCAATGACTCTCTCTCATTATTGATGTTTCTGTCTCTTCCTCTCCCTCTCCCTTCCTCTCTCTGAAATCAATAAAGATATACTATAAAAAATAAAATAAAATAGAGGATTCGTCCACTTTTTAAAAAAATTAATAACTTGACTTAAAGGACCAAGACAAGGGGAAAAACTAAGAGGCTAGAAGTTAAAAATAATTGTGCTTACAGAGGATGGCTGAGGTAGAAGGAAAGCGAATTAATCGTCCTAAGTAGTACTATTTCTGAGAGCAGACGCTGGAGCAGAAAATTAAGAGGTGGATACATAGAAAAATAGCAAGGGTTGGTGAGGACCAAGTCAGGAGCACTAATGAGAGCACATTCAGGTGACATGGAGAAAATGATCTTTAAACATATTAAGTATAAGGGAGTGGACTTTGATTAGATGCAAAGTAAAACTCAATAACAAAATTACCTAAAACCTAGCTAAGCCTCACCTTTATCTAAAACAAAGAAGGGAACCAGGGAAATATGGCCCACAGTTAGACAAATGCAGAAGGGGCCTCGCCCCAAGAAAGACCATGAAATAGGTGAGGCTGTTCTCCTCCTTTCTCTCCACGGTGACCAACGGTTGATGTCCTATAAAGACAAACCCCCCCACACCTGCTTCCCTCTTCAGGTGGCATCTCACATCCTAGCCAGTTTCTTCCCCCTGTTCTACCTTCAAAGCCCCATCCCTTGAATCCCTCAGGACCCGTGCCCCTCTCTGCCAGTGGTGGAAGAGTCAGTAAGTCGCTTGCACCAAGAGGAAGGTGGTCTGATGGTTACTCCCCGGTGGAGTGGCCACAGCATTTTGGCAGAGGGCTCCTAGAGGTCCGCTCAAATGGCACCTTCTCTGGGAAGCTGCCCCCCATCTCCCTCCTCAGGTGGAAACAGTCCCTCCCTCACCTGGTTCTCTCAGGGTTTTGAACTATCAGCACCACGATCAGATGCAGTCACTAGTTTACATCTCTGAGCTTCCTCTAGGACTGAAAGTGCCTTGGACCCCAACACCTAATGCAGTGCCTGGTACATAATCAGGGCTCAGTACCTGTTCTATGGATGAACAGAAGGGGGGAGGGAGGGCAGGGGAGGGCAGACGGAAGGAAGAAAAAGGACAGAAGAGAATGGCATGGGTGGAATTTCAGCAAACTGAGGGAATGGGGAATCTGGGGCAGGCAGAGCTTTGCCAACCACCCTTCTGCCCTGCTCCTCAAATCACATCAGGTAAGGCAACTGCCTTCTTGCCCTAAAAGGAGCATTCGACACAGTAGAGAATCAGGTGGAGAAGGCCTCTCTCCTTTACCAGTAACAGAACCAGCGTGGGCTTTGATTTGTCTGGGTATAAATCTCCAACTTAAGAATATTTTACAACAGTTTCTTAAAATCCTAGGCTGGATTTTCTTTCCCACGATGTGGTTCTGGGACGCTTCCCCTAACCGTCTGTCACTGCAGACTCAGGAATGAGAGCTAATTTTAATATTAGCCTGAGCCAGACACAAAATGCGCTACGGAAAGGAAACAAGGCAGTAAAAACACAAACAGCCTCTGGAAACACTGGGATCTCTTAAGTTCTGTGACATTCCTCTCTTTCCCTACCCTAGATGCTCTTCTTGTGTCTCCTCTCCCAACCAGGGCCTTGGCCTTGGTCTCCTTTTTTATTTTTTTAATCCTGACCCGAGGACATTTTTTCCATTGCTTTTCAGAGAGAGTGGAAAGGAGAGAGAGAGAGAAAAAAACCCAGAGATGTGAGAGAGACACATCGATTGATTGCCTTCTGCTTGCACCCCGACCGGGGCTGGGAATCAAACTTGCATCTGAGGGCACGTGCCCTTGGAAGAGTCGAACCCAGGACCCTTCCGTCCACGAGCCAATGCTCTAACCCCGGAGCCAAACTGTCTAGGGCTTGGTCTCCTATTCTTGCTACTCACAGATACACTTTGTCTCTCAAGTTCATTTATGCCCATAGACTCAACCAGCACCTACAGGCTCCCGGTTAACAAAGCTATGGTTTCAGCCCAGTTCCCGAGCTTCAGGCTTCCCGACCTGGCTGCCTATTTGATATCACTTGGATATGCCACAGGAACTTCAAATTCCACACATGCAAAGTGAAAATGACCATCTCCCCGGACCTGTTTTCCTTCCTGCATTCCCCACCTTGGTTGCCACCGTTGGCCACCCAGCTTCCCTGTTGTAAACTTGAGAGTTAGCCTAGATTCCTCCTTCTGTCTTATCCTTCGTATCCTCACATAAAATCAACCACCGGGTCGCATGAATTTTACTTCTTATAGCCCATTTATACCATCTTCGTCTCTGTCTCTTCCGCCTCTGCCCAGTTCAGCCTCTCGTCACCTAGCATCATGACAGTGACAGTCGTCTTCCTGTTCATCTTGGATGAAACCTGTTAACCCACAGGCCAGTTCTAGCCTGCACACATATGTCAGAGGGACTGGATCACCCTGCAGAGCTGGCCAAGTCACTTCCCTGTTCGAAATTCTTCCATGGCTCCCTTCACTCGGGACAGCATTTCCCAAAGTCAAGTCCTTTTGATGCTATGAGCCCCGTGAGAAGGTCCTTGCAGATGGGATTCCATGGGGTTGCCAGGCTCCCGGGAGGGGGGGTTGGGGGACTGGGTGGAAAAGGGGAAGGGATTAAGAAGTACAGGTTGGCAGTTATAGAACAGTCTTGGGGATGTGAAATACAGCATAGAGAACATAGTGAATAATATTGTAATGACTACATATGGTGCCAGGTGGGTACTAGACTTATGGGGGGAGGGGGGGAATCACTTCATAAGTTATATAAATGTCTAACCACTATGCTGAACATCTGAAACAAATATTACATTGAATTTTAACTGTAATTGAAACATAAAAAATGTTAAGCAAAGTAAATTTAAAAAGGGATTCCGTGGGAAATGCTGAAGTCAAGCCACATTTTGGACATTCACGCTGCATATCAGCATAGCAAACATTCTGGTGATTTTTCCAGTTTAAAAAACACAGCATTTTCCAGCGTATTTGACCTCAGAACCCCCTTTACATGTTCCATCTATTAACACTATGAACGTTGTGTTCTGTAAAAACACATCTGGGCAAATTCTAGCCTAGGGGATAAATAAAACCCACTTTCTTGTGCAAGGCCTACAAGGACCTGCATGAGTTAGCCCCCGTTTACCAGTCCAGACTCGTTTCCCATGGTTCCTCCCCCTGCACCTTCTGGCAATACTCACCGACTGTCATTACAGCCCCCAGAGCTTGACTTTGCAATGCTGTTGCTTCTGTCCAGAATACCCTGTCCCCACTGTCTCCCTTAAGTGTCAGACCAAACACCATCTCCTTTGTAAAGCTCCATTGCCAATCCCCCAACCCCTCCCACGCGGCTGAGCAGAAGGTGCCCCCTGTATGGGCCCAGGCTGCCATGGAGACACTTCTGTGAGCGATGCCCTGCCTGCCCGTCTACCCTTTCAAGGTGAGCTCCTTGAGAGCACAGGACCCAGCCCAGTGCCCAGAGCACATGGAACAGAAGCAAAAAGCTGTCTGTCATTTTGGTAGAATGTTGAAGTCTATTTCTTTCATCGGTGTAATCCTGTAAAAAATTAACAGCTGACTAGACAGTGAATACATTATCTTAATACTCATTTTTTCTTTCAGAGTTAGACTATGTTCATGAAATGAAACCAGCCAAGTAATGTTATCTGCAAGTCCACGTGATATTTGCCACTTCATACAAACATTCTGAATCTTCTACATAAACTTGGAATTTCTGCGAGGAATGAAGACGGTTTTTCTCAGCCCTATGTAGAAGGATGGGAAAGACCATCGAAAAGTTCCAGACAAAAGGTAGCTCTAAAGCCCACAAAAATAAACTAACAAAATGTGGCTCTTGACACATGAAAAGGTTCAGCATTGAAAAGTGAAGGTGCCCTTTTCAGAATGTTTGTATTAAGTGGCAAATATCACGTGGACTTGCAGATAACATTACTTGGCTGGTTTCATTTCATGAACATAGTCTAACTCTGAAAGAAAAAATGAATCTAATTAAAAAAAAAAATGTTTTTTTTACCTGTCTAAAAATGTTCCTTAGATCTTCTGGATTTGTGAGGCAAAAGAGTAAATAAAGGCAAAAGTGGGTATAAACGTTAAGCGTGAAATTTAGCGTGTGCAGAAATTCCAGCACACTGCCCTGCACGGATGGGTCCAGTGACTCTGCTGACAAGAGCTGACAAGAGCAGGGCAAGCAGGGTGCCAGCTGAGGCGTCTGCTGCCCTCACCTCTTGCGCCCACTGGCACGGTGTCAGACAAGGGAACACGATACATTTTCATTAACTCTGAACGCTGATCCATATATCATTCCTGGGCCAGGCCGTTTTAGCCACCGGAAGACTCCTCTACGGAAGGCCTGATGGCATTTTCGTCATTGAAAAGCCACCTGTAACGGCTGGTACGTTCAGGAAGCATGTGCATTTCCTGCAACTTTGTTTTTCCAATTGTCAACTTGGTGTCCTTTCTGTCACCGGTGAATCCAATGACTGCTCGGCATAATCCCTGCCCTGTGGGTCTGGTTACAACGGATACTGGTGAGTAAACAAACACATACACCTGCTTTCTCTGACCATGCCTACTTGTTACTCACCCCAGACAAGGAAAGTAGCCTGTTCTCTCCTCTCTCCCCTATAGTCTCAGCCTCCTGCAGCTCTGGGCAGGAACACGCGTCCAATGCTCAGAACTCTGCCTGCACACAGTAGATGCTCACTAAAACTTAGCTATTCTTGTTATACGCTTGTTTTAACTAGCAATACTCGTATTTTGGACGCTGACGACTGCTTGGGGAGTAGGGTCAGGCACGTGGACCGGTGTAGGAGGGATGAGTCACTTGCCTCCAAGTGGGGTCCCAAAGCAACAGCCGACGCCCACGGCACAGCCCACCGTCAGCATATCCGTGTAATAGTATGGCTGCTACTAGGGGACAGACAGACCAAGAGCGAGAAGGGAGGGGCGAGGAAGGGAAGGGGGGCAGAGAGAGGAGAGGAGAACAAACAAGGGTGGGAATAAGGCAGGAGGAGAGGCTTAAGTCACGGGGAATCATAGTGGTCCCATGGCCCCCCCGCAATGCCCAGGCCGAGACAGGAAGTGGCCTCATGGCGCAAGGCCCAAAACACAGAAAATGAAATAAAAGTTAGGTAAATACATGGTGAGCGGGGAAGCCAATTAGTGATCACCAGAGAGAGGCTGGAGGTGGGGACAGGCAGGGAGGAGTGTCAACAGCAAGAGAGACAGGAGAGGACTTCAGACAACGGCACTAGCAATCAGGCCTGCATGACACAGCGCCGGCCTCGAAGGAACACACAGACCTTCCGTAGAAAAGTGTGGGTGCCTGGAGACCAGGGGCTGCGGGCCCACCCGCCAGTCCGTTCAGCCAGCACCCACGTCCACCCCAAAGCTCTGGCAGCCACCCAGGCCCCCCTTCCAAGTCATGCTCGGGACACAGGTGGGGAGGAAGAGGGACTTGCCTCCGACAGGGGCTGCAAAGCAGCATCCCACGCCCACGGCGCAGGCCGACACCGCGAAGTCAAGCTGCTCAGGCACGGTCTGCAACAGAGAAGCGCGCGGGACAAGGGGGGCAGGGCGCTGGGGGGCGGGCGGTCATAGGAGA